TAGATTTGTGCTTCATGTGGCAAAACGGGGACCCACCCTCAGCCCTGGGAGACTGAATAGCCATTCTGTGGCTCGCAAGCCCCTGTTTTTGCCTGCCCACCCTGCCTGGTGGGGCTGTTTCCTTCCTCTGTTGCTGCTACCACTCTCACTGAATTGGCAACGCCTTCCTAGAGGGACAGTGAGACCTCTCTGGCTGATTCCCCAACTCGGGAAAGGCACTAACAGGCTTTATAATTAAAAAAGATTTTAACGATGTACAAGTTATGCACAGAAAATAAACACAGGCACTTCAACACAACCTGGGCAGAAAATAAACACGATCTAAACGCAATTCCTCTGTCCTCTACACACACCCTCTCTACCTCTATAGTGGGTGGCTGCAGGCCAGGATTTGCTTTCCCCCTCCTGTCGTTGGAGAGAAACTCCAGCCCTCCTCAGGACTGGTCACCAATACGGCTAAACCTCCTGGCTGTCCACCACGATTTATAGTGGCCTGGACTGACCACGGAGTGTTGGTAGCAGGAGTCCCACCTGTACGCACCCCTTGAAGCTGCTGTTCAGGCGAAGGCCAAGACTAAAGAACTCCTCTGAGGGGTCAAAGCCTTTATCTGGCTGGCTCCGCCCCTGGGGTGGGTCCATACCGTGTTTCCCCGAAAATAAGACAGTGTCTTATATTTATTTTTTCTCAAGAAGACACTCTAGGGCTTATACCACAAATGCATAGAAATCCTGCTAGGGCTTATTTTTGGGGTAGGTCTTATTTTCGGAGAAACAGGGTACTTTCCCGCACTTTTCCCCTAACGCTGCTGGGAAATGTAGGCAGGGAGGTATGGCCGTTCCATTGCTCCCTATGGAGCACCCCCCCCTCCAGAGGACTACCCAACTGGCAGCCATTTTAACATAAACTGCTGCCTCTGCCTGGCAGCCGTTTCGTTACACTTCATATGAACCATATCCTCCAATTAGTCACTTTTTATCATGTGGTATTTACCTGAGGCCTAAATGCGTTTCTACATAATGATGTGTCAGATGAAAGGGTCTTTTGCTTTTGGCAAACTAATGCCCTGTACTGTCTTCAATGAATCATGGTAGGATCAGAAACAGCCTTTTCTGAGGCATAATGTAGTGTTTGTTCTCGGTGCTAAGAGAAGAAGAAGAAGAGAAGAAGAGATTGGATTTATTGTGAGAAGCCGAATTTTGATTTTTAAATATGCAGACACAACACTGTTGCATATCATTGTTTCTCAGTGTAATCTTCCCATTGGCACCATTTCTAATTCATTAGGTCTGCTCTCCAAGCCCCAGCATAAGTAAATATTTTTTGTTCTGTTTCTCATTTTCAGCTCTGGCACCCTAAGGGAGCTGAGCCTTCAATGAAAGACAAGGCTGTACTTCTAAAGTAATAACAATTGTATTCACAAGGGAGGGGTGTTATTTCCATTACTGTTTATGCAATTTGTACTCCTCTTCAAGAAAATCAGAGTGGGGGACACAAAGTTCCATGGAGGTCTACCTTTAAGGTGTTGTTCCCTTAGATAATTGATGAGCCTTGGATGTGGCGACATCATATTTTTGATTGCTCTTCTGCATTTTAAACTCAAGATATTGGAGGGTGTTTTCTAATTTTACTCAATAATTTACTGCTTTTGTACATTGCTTTGTATGCTACAGAGAATGCAAAAGTAAGTTTCAAATGTACCAAATACCTAGACCTGCCTAACTTCAAGGATAAAATCACATCAGGATTCTTTAGCTGAACAATGAAATGTATTTTATAAGCAAAGATCTTTGGCTCGTGGGGAGGGGAAAAACAAAAACTTGTAACTTCTGCCTCTGAATGTCAGGTAGTGTTGCCAGGCATGGCAACCAGTGAAATACTGGGGGGAGGGGCCATAATGGGGGAGGGGTGTTTCTGTTTCAAAATCAGAGCACCTACATGCCCCAAAGCCCCTTGGAAAAACTAATAAAACAACAGCCCTGCTAATACTTAAGCCCAGAGATATTTTTACCGTATGCCTGTCTAATTCTAAGGGCACAAAATAGAAACTTTACCAAAAACAAAGTAACACACCTATCATTGCCAGCCAAAAGATATAACAGATGATAATCATGTGAACAGCAAGGAAATCTGCTCAATAAAGGTAATATAGATTTAACCCTTATAGATGAATAAAAATAACTAAATACAAAATGAGGCAAAGTTTCAGTACAGCTCTATCACAAGCACATGGTCTCCAGAGGTTGCTACTACCCTTGCAGTGACCTGACAATTCTGCAAGTGGTAAAGTATTTACTCTAGCCAAGAAAAAAAGGTTGACAAAAAATTGGGACTGTTAGAAATGTAAAATGCCTTCGTAAAACAGGGGAAAGAGGGGCTGAAAAGCCCCAGAAAAGGGGGGAACAACATCAACAAGAGTTTAATACTGTCAAGACACCAATCAAATAACAGAAAATGTGAGTAGGGGAACAATGTCTCCTGCTCTGGTGGGGAGGGCAGGTAGGGCTGCCAAGTTCCCCCAGGGGGCGGGGATTCCCCGCCGAAAGGGCCCCCAATCTGCTGGTCTGGATCTGGCCAGTGGGGCAAACCGCACCCCCGAAGTGGCCAGATCAGGCCAACTTGCCCAGCGCAATGATGTCACCCAGAAGTGACATCATCATACTGGGCACATCACCGGGTGACGCTCTAGCAATTACCCTGAAAACTCTATGGTACCATAGAGTTTTTAGGGTGATTGCTAGAGTGTTGCCCGGCGACGTGCCCAGCGTGATGACGTCACTTCCAGGTGACATCATTGCAGTGTGCGCATGCTAAACCCCAGGACCGGGTCCCCCCCACTATACCAATTAAGAGACTTGGCAACCCTAAGGGCAGGGTATACATTGAATAAATAAATAAAATCTAAATTAATAACCTCCTCATCTAGTCTCCTTGGTGATTACAGAACCTTCTTTCTAATATTTGGTATATCATAGAAGAGAAGGACAAACTGACACTAAACTCAACAGCTTATCCTCCATTAAATTATCCCAAGATCTATGTGAGTTAAACTGAGTCCATCTTAAAAGCTCTGGTAAGGCCTCACAATACAACAAGAAGACTTTAAATTTTGTTGCAGCTACCCAACCCAAAAGAGAAATATGACTAAAATCAGTTCCCAGCAGTAAATCAGAATTTGTAATGCATTTAGGAGCTTGCAAAAGAGTACACAAAAGGAAACCTGCACCACCTAAAACTGCTGAGATCCAAATAGGGACTCCATATACGGGCTGTCCTTGACCAGGGCCGGCCTGGTGGAACTCTCTGCCTATCGACATCCGTGCCCTGCAGGACCTAGTGCAGTTCCACAGGGCCTATAAGGCAGAGATGTTTTCCCAGGCCCGTGGTTGAGGACAGCAATGGTTCGTCATCCAGCCTGGCTTCCTCCATCCCTCTTCTCCCCTACGAGGTAGGATATAAATTGGCTTCAAGCGCCATCTGGAATAGTTTGGAATTGTATCAGTACAATTGGCTTTATAGTTTTAATTGTCCTAGTCTGATTCTAAATGTATTAATGAAATATTGTTTACCACCCTGAGCCCTCCAGGGGGGATAGCGGTCTAAAAATTAGACAGACAGACAGATGGGATTTTTGCTTGATAGACCTTCAATACCATAGAACAGATTGACCACTGGTAGGGGATGGCTATCAGTGTGATGTCACTTCCAGGGAAAACCTGGAAATGACGTCATGCCTCTCTAGAATTTACTGGATACTCTATGGTAAAACCATCACACTATTGACCTGGAGGCCATGTTTCTAATTTTCTTTTTGCTGCCACTCCAAGCAGTGGCAGGAAATGAGAACTGGGGTGGGGAATCCTCCACCAACATCATGGGGTTGACAACCCTCTTGTCAGGTGATACAGTACTGGATTAGATGGATCAGTGTCAGGCCTTCAGAGAATCCACTCTACACACAATATTCCTTAGTCAGGTTTATTGTTAAGATTTGGACTTCTGTCAAGGTGAACACCTTTGTCAGAACTGGCAAGCAAAAGCAAGGGATCGATAATCAGGGAAGGGGTCCCACCCCCAGGCACACGTCACACCCACAGAGGCGTTACTAAAGGTCATGAAAGAATATGTGACCCAACTAGCCATGTTCATAGTCTTATCTCTCCCAAGGCCACGTCTCCGGCTGGAACCTGGGAATGGGCTGGGGGATGCTTCAGAAAAGAATTACGAGCGGCACCTCCTCACACCTCCTTACGCTCATTCTCACACTCTCCCCCCTTATGAATGTAGGCTTGAAATTGAACTTGTTCGCCCTTTATTTGGAAAGACTTTATCTTGCAAGAATATGTTCTACCCTTCAGGAAATAATGAATTGTACTGGATTTAACCATAGAATGAGAAGAGACAATTTCTGAGATGTTGATGTTTGGAAGAAGTTCTTCTTACGAAACGGAAGTTTAACTCCGGAGAGTTTCATCCATCTGGAATTACATAAAAGATTGTATTATATACTTTGAATTTATGAATTTCTGTAACTTTGAAAGATTATAAGCGCTTTTTGCATTATCTACAATTTATTTGTTATTTGTTGTTGGCTATATGAGCTGTACCCCCTTGCATGTTAGGATTACAAAAGCAGCATTAGCAATATAGGCAACCATACTATAATCAATAAACCAAAAATTGGTCCGAGTCTGACAATCAGTGCTCTGACTCAGACTGATGCAGGATCAATGATTAATCTACAATTAAACTCATGAATGTTCAAGCATCAAAATTTTTTTGTCTCAGCCCTGTGGTGAGAGAATTCTGAATGTTTTTATTTAAGAATATCTATTCTAAGGCAAGGCAGGTGATCTGCACCACAGGAAAACTACATGCCTTCCAGTTATGATATTCAGGCAAATCTAGCTTTCTTCAAATCTGCTTCTTGATGAACCATTGTCTAATTGGTTTGCCTTTCATCAACTATATCTTTCTGACATGGGTGATATTGTTTTTGCAGAGAGCTTTTCAGTGCCCACCACTGAGATTATTGCTGTGGAGGAAACAGAAACTGATAAGAAACAATCTAATGGTCGAAAATGGCACAAAATGGCAAAGCAGCATGCTTTCACAGGTAATTTACCTTCTAGAATTTTGTAAGGATCACGGAGATGGTGAATGTGTTTTGAATACCGAAGCCCTATATAAATGCTGTTTAAAAACAAACAAACAAATGTAATCCTGTATGGTTTTGCAACACAAAAGAAGGGGCAAAAACCGAACCCTAAAATGGAATTGGATACCTAAAAGGTACAAGTATAGATAAAAAAATTAAGAAAAATATATCTCTATTAATACAGTGCACTTTAAGAGTTCATTAAAAACAAAATGGGCCTTTGGGCCATAGAGGTCACATGCTGTGCAGTACACATTGCATAAAATACAGTATACATTTAGTAGCACTGATTGGAATCAATAAACAAATAAAATCAGACCAGACATGTTTCAGCCAAAAAGGCCTTTGTCAGTCCCCCCAATTTAATATCACATGCATGCTATATAAAGGAATTTGTATTGGTTTATTGGTTCCAATCAGTGCTACTAAGCATATACTGTATTGCATGGTATGTGTACTGCAAAGTGTGCTACTAAGAGTTTACTGTACTATATGCAAAGTGTACTGCATAGTGTGTGACCTCTATGGCCTAAAGGCCCATTTTGTTTTTAATGTGTTTTTAAAGATATTTTTGTTTAATTTTTTAAAATCTTTGATTGTACCCTCAACCTTTTAGATATCCAGTCCTGTATGGTTTTAACATCAGACTGGATGTGGGGTAATACACTGTATTGTTTAGATCTATTTTATTGCAATTTTAATAATTTAACTGGTTTCCCCTCAGATGGCTGTGGCCCCGCCCCCAGCATGCCCGGCGTCATCACATCACCTCCGAGTGATGTGCACACCGGGGTGGGGATTCCGCGGCGGCAGAAATCAGGCCTCCAAAGCGGGGGGAAATCCGCCCCCCGGGGGGACTTGGCAGCCCTATGTTCATCCTGTACTGGATGAGCTATACTTCCTTTTAAGGGTCTGGGTCACACCTTGGAGGGTGCTTTTAGCTTCAGCTTTGCCAATTTACCTACATGGCATCCATAACTTTTAGCATTTTTTACCAAATCCGATTGACATGCCAGCTGTGCCCTTTTCAGAAAGAGATGGTCTACCCACTCTTATGTATACTGTTGGAATATCTACCCTGGATTACTACTGTGAATTGTATGTGGGGTTGCCTTTGGAGGGTTATCAGGAATTTCAGCTGGTATACTAGAGGGTCATTTGTAAGTCAGAGCAGAAGATGTTGAGTTAGTAGACAAATTCTATAATGACAACTTCCTGCATACATCGAGCTGACTTCAAAACATAGTTTAGGAAGCCAAATCTGTCTGTGATGAGAGAGCAAATATTTTGAATTCTTTCCAGTACTTTGTGAATGAATGTGAAAGAGCCAGTTTGGTGTAGTGGTTAAGTGCGCAGACTCTAATCTGGGAGAACCGGGTTTGATTCCCCACTCCTCCACTTGCACCTGGCTGGATGACCTTGGGCAAGCCATAACTCTGGCACAGCTGTTCTTGAAAAAGAGCAGTTTCTGTCAAGAGTTCTCTCAGCCCCACCTACCTCACAGGGTGTCTGTTGTGGGGAGGGGATGGGAAAGGAGTTTGTAAGCCGCTCTGAGACACCTTTGGGTAGTGAAGGGCGGGGTATAAATCCAATCTCTTCTTCTTCTTCTTCTTCTGAATGCAGGTTTTACCTTTTATAATAGTGATATATAAGAACAACATCCTGGGTGGCTTGAGATATCTTTTGAAACACAAAAGTACATTTTTATATGAGTTATTCAATGTATAATGATAACCTGACTTATGAAGAAGACCCTTCCATAGTCCTTCATATTGAAAGCCATCTCTGGTATAGAAAGTCTAACTAAGGTTGCCAAGTCCATCTTCGCCCCCAGCAGGGGGCTTTGGGGGGCGTTCCTGGAGGGGGCCGGGCATCCCCGGTTTGGCAGGGGTCCCCCGCCAAGCCCCAATACCCACAGCCACACCTCTCCCTTCTCTCTTGAGAGAGAGGAGGGAGAGAGGTGGCTGCGGGCCACACACGCAATCTCTGCTTGAAGATCGGGCGCACGGGGAAACGCCAGCTTCCTGCACTTAAAGGGGCTTCCTTTAAGTGCAGGGAGCCAGCGTTTCCCCACGCGCCCTATCTCCGCTCGAGATTGTGTGTTCCCCGTGTGCTTTGTGTGTGTTTTGCTCTTTTCTTCTTTTATAATAGAAACACCTTTCTGGTTGAACTTCAGCCTGGTTTATTTTGAGAGTTCTCTAAGGGAACAATCCCTATAAATATTGGTGAAGATTCCTTAGTTACCCCCTTTCACTTGTCTCCAATTACACTAATTTCCCCAATTAATTAGGAGACTACCAATGTGGATAAGAGATTAATAGTGGCTCACACAGGCATCAACCTGTACTTCTGAGTAACATGAGTACACACATGTGTCTCAGAGTACAGACATAGGAAGGCTTCCCCAGAGCAACTCTTGCAGGAGTGTGTGTGAGTGTATGTGTGGTACTGTGTGCATGTCACTAGCAAACCAACCATCTGGGTGGGAAGCTTTGTTTCATTTCTAGGCTTGTGTCATTCAGCCACACCTATTGGCCCACATGTTCTGGAAATTGTGATGAAGTTTAGTAGAATGCAAGGGACTGACATGTGGCTGATTCCCCAACTTGTCCCCATCTTGGATTGGGTTGGTTTTTGAAGTCAGGAAAAGGATCCCTCACAGACTTAGGAAACAGAACAGCTGCCCCTTTAAAATCTAGGGGTTCCCTAGAATCGGCTGCAAGCCACCATTTCATGGTAAAAGGGAGGACCTCCCAGAAAAGGCAGTACAGGAAATATTCTAAATGAATATACGTGCTAACGGCTATGATTATTGTATTTGAGCATATTCCCAACAAATGTGTGTGAAAATCCTTTATACCTATCTCCATCTCTTGGTCTTTTTTCCTTCTTCTTTTTTTGCAGTATATTATGTGAAAAGGAAACGACCTCACTGCTGGCGGTGCAAGGAAGCAACATTTTGGTGCGATGATGAGCAACTTTGTAATCAATGGATACAGGCACTAAAAGAATTACTTGACTCACAGAGTAAGTTTTGGATGATGGAAATCATCCATGCTGTCTTGACGAGAATTAAATACAAAGCTGCTGTTGCCACTTAATGTAAAAGCAATGTCTGCTTAGCATTTGGGGGCTCCTACACTTATTTTGCCTGCAATAAACAAATACTGCATCACTAGGACTCATTGCCTCTTTCTGAATATTACCCTTTGGCCTGTATCCTCCACTGAGCAAAGCTGGAAGCCTTTCTCCAGCTGAGGGAGCATTCCCCCTACTCAACTGGCTCTTCCTCTGGCAGAAGAGCCACTTAGGTTGGAGGAAAGCTCTCTGGTACGTTTGCCAAATCCAGGATGGGAAATTCCTGGAGATTCAGGGGTGGCTGTGAAATCTCGTTGCCAAGGGACAACACCATTAGCCTCTGTGCCATTTCTTGTGGGTCTACCAGGGCCTTTCTGGGAAATGGGATGCTGAACTAGATGGAGCACCAATGCGGTCAGCAGAGATCTCCACACATTGTTATTCTTAGGTGGAGCTCTGGGTATGGTAAGGAAGCTATGTTTGATACAAAGGAGAATGGCCCTGGATGCTGAATGAGGGTTCCCTACTCCATGTTGGGAAATTTCTGGAAATATGGGTGTGGAACCTGGGGAGAGTTGTCCTGGCCTGGCCAGGACTAGTCCTAGGGAAGCCCCCTCCCAGCAGGGGCGCCTTACAGATATGGGGACACCTGCCAGCCTCCTGTACCCCCCAAGACAGCTGGCATTGGGCTTCAACCATCCCGAGCCACTCACCAGGATGAGGAGGGAAAGGGTCAGCAGCGTTGGTAGCAGGTCTGCAGCGGGGCCCAAGAGAATGGCAGGCAGTGGTGGGGATGGCAGTAGGCCCGCAGTGGGGCCTGAAGAGATGGCAGGTGGCGGCAGCAATGACCGCGGCTTCCGTGGCAGGGCCTGGAGAGGTGGCGGGTGACAGCAGCAACAGCAGCAGGCTCACAGCGGGGCCCGAAGAGGCGGCAGCGGCAATGGCCACAGGCCTGAGGCATGACCCAAAGGGGCCTCCCTGGCCCCAGGAATGGGTGGGGGAGGCATAGGGCAGGCCTTGGCCATGCACAGCTGTTGCAGTGGCAGGGCTGGCAGCCGGGGGAGGAGGAGGCTGGGACGCCAGCCAGCAGGCCTGGGCATTCAGCCTTTTGCTGGCTCGGCAGCCCTGGCCGAAGACCCGCCAGGAGAGTCTGCAGAAGGGTGGGGTTGGCTGGAGGACACTGGCTCAGCTTCCCTACAGATATACTGGGGGCAGGGGCAGGCCGGAGGGAGGGTGGGAAGAGGCAGCGGCCAAGGAAGGGGAGAGGTATAAAAAAAGGCTCCAGGAGACAGCCAGGGAGGATGACCTGAGGCTCCAGCCCTAGACCCAGAGAGAGAGCTCAGTGTGGTTGGCTGAACCCAGGGAGCTGGTGGAAGGAAGGTGACATAACCTTCCTCCTCACTCACAACTGAGGCAACTCCTGCCCTCCCCCCCCCCACTTTTGGGCACCACCAGCCAGGAAAAAAGGACCGTCAAGCAAAGGCACGTGCCAGGACGCAGTGGCGTCTGAGAGGAAGTCGGCGGGAGGCAAGGGCACCCGTGACAATGGTGGAGTTTAGGGAAGGGATGGAGCACAGTTGGGATGTAATGCCATATAGTCCACCCTCTAAAGTTGTCCTCCAGGGTACTGATCTCTGTAGTGTGCAGATCAGCTATAATTCTGGAAGAACTCCAGGTCCCACCTGGAATTTGGCAACCCTACTCCTTCAGCTGGAGGAAGGCATGACAACCAATATATTCAGCAGAGATATATGACAGTGCATTCCCACTCTTACCCTCTGCTCCTGGTCCCAATGGGAATATGCAGTTCTGAACATTCATGTACCTATTTTTTAGCCTGCTGACCTCCAGAGAAGTCTAAAAGGTATAGAATATTTGTCACAGGTTAATTGTAGTAACTGTTCTCTTTTTGGTAGAAAAGATACAGAGATTCCGTGTGTGCCATTTGTGCAGTACATGTTGGGGGTGGGATGATTTTCATAAATGGCTGCAAAGAGGGTTAGGAGGTTTTTCCCCTTCCTCAGCTTTTAACTACAGCTTCAGAAGCTGTTTTTCATCAAAAGAAAATATCAGAAGACCAATTCATCCCTCTTCCATGTAATATTCCATTCAGGGTCTGGGGGGGTGGGGAGAAAGAAATGAAGGTTGCAGGAAAGAGCAGTAGCACAACCACTGTGTGCCTTGCTGCAATGGCGCATTACTGCCGAAGTCCCTGCACTTTCCACCCCTGCAGGAGTATCTTATCCCTCCAATGAGTCCCACCCCACAGCTTGAAAATGTAGGCAACAGATGCATTCTTAGTCACTCATGAAAGCACCCCTTGTGGTGCACTGGGTGGCCTAGGTCTAAAAAGTCTTCTAGATGTAAGAGCCAGGGTAGAGTAGTCAGATGAACAGAACACTAGAGTAGGACTGGCGATGAGCCACAAATCTAGGGTAACAGTGAGCTAGTCATTCTCTGTCACTCTAACCAACCTCATAAAGTTATTGCAAGGATAAAATGGGTGGGGAGGGCTGAACCAGGTATTCAACTTTGAATGCTTTGGAGGAGAGTGTGACAAAAAACGGAAATATATAAATATATCCATAACTCCTGTTGACTTCTATATTTAATAAAAACATGGACCCTTATCCATTTCTGGGTTTCTTTTGCAAACTCAGTAGGAAAAAATGTTGAAGTTGACCCTAACTTGATAGTTAAGAAATTGGAAAAACTGACTGACTGAAGTGGGGAACTTTTCCTTCTCTAGCTGTTGTATATCTACAACAGCTAATGAACTCCTGCCGTGAAAGCCTTCGACAACATATTTCCCTTCTCTGTTCTAATAATGGTAGCATCTTCTCCATTTTAACAGAGGCTTAAAATGCCCTCAGTGTGCTTGTGTTATCATTGCAGTGTTACATTTTTGACATGCATTAGAAGAATTGAAGATCAAATAATCCTCTAACTTTAAGCCTCTCTGTATCCTTTGTTTCCTCCCCTTGGCAGCCTCTAGACCAAAGCACTTGCTTGTATATATTAATCCATTTAGTGGGAAAAAACAAGGGAAGAGAATATATGAACAAAAAGTCGCTCCACTGTTTAGTCTGGCTTCAATCTCCACAGAAGTTATCGGTGAGTCATGCGATGTGACATGCTTCTAACATTCTCTAAATGTTAGGCAACGAGTTCCTTCAAAGCAGCATTATGTCATGCGCCCTGCAGAAATATCCTGTATGGATTTGGCATAAAGAAATATAATGGCAGTTGATTTCCAAATGTTTTAACTCCGTCCCTTGAATCAAAAAGCAGTCGTTTTCATGGAGGAGGGCTTAGCTTGTGGTCTCAGGCCTTGTAAGACACAGTCCAAGGTTGTCGCTGTATTTGAGATTTAAAGGTTGGAAGGCGATAGCTGTCAATCAGTTCTCTTGACAGACAAACCATTTTTGACAGTTCCCCCTTTTCTATAAGGAAGCTGGCTTCTAGCAATACTGCTATTCAGACCATCTAGCAGAGAAATGTCCTTTGCTGGGCAGCTGAGTTTTTCCATCCAGTTTCCTCTCAGTGCCGATTAAAATTCTGTTTCCCATTTCTGAGCACGACTATGTTTTGAAGTAGCTCCTCAAAGTAACAAATGAATGAATGGAGATTCTCCTTCCACTCATTTTTGTTAATTTTATTGGTGCCTAAGATATGGAGCTTGAACACCCCAAAATAGTCAGAGCTTGGAAGCTAAGTAGGGTCAGCCAAGACTAGTATTTGGGTGGGAGACCACCAAGGAAGACCAGGGTTGCTATACAGAGGCAGGCAATGGCAAACCATCTCTGCTCATCTCTTGCCTTGAAAACCCCATGAAGGGTCATTCTAAATTGTTGCTACTTGACAGAACTTAATTATTATATATCTCTATATACGTAATAATCCAGTTTTTGAGTGGCAACATTCCATGCTCTCCCTCAGCCATTGGCCCATCAGCCACCACTCAAGAGTACTCACGTGCCATTGGCTAGGTGCTGGGTCTGCTCCTCTTCCCCACCCACTCCACCTTCAGCCACTGCGCCCTGTCAGAATTACTGGCAAATGGCTTTCTCTCTTGACGAAGACGCTTTTCCTGTCTGGGACTAACTTTCCCCCCAGTGGCTGTTGGTAGGTGTCATGAAATGGCAGTTACCTGTGTTTGTAAGATGGCTGTGGTTATTTGTTTAAAATGTTCCCCCATAAGGTTTAATTGAGCAGTAGTTCCAGAGAGGGGCCTGCAGGAGTATCACTCACTGGGTTGAATGGGGCTTCCTCATCTGCTGGCCTACAGTTCCCAGCTGCCCCAAGACCAAAAAGTGCTGAAAACAGGGACTGTCCCAAGGCAGTCTTCGCCCCTAGGAGGCAGCAGAAATTCAGCCATTCCACAGTTGGCTGGACTGGGGAATGAATGGAAGTTTCCCTGCTCTCTTGGGCTACAGAGAGAGGCTGAAGTACAGGTGAGCCCACAACCTCCAGAGAATAGAGTATTGTGTGTAG